AAGCGATTTCCGTCGCTTCATAACTCCCATTGCGTCTCCCTGAAGACACGGCAGTGGAGACGAAATGGGCAGGTTCACGTTGAGCTCAACTGCTTGGCGGGGGGGCCATGGAGTTTCTCGGCCAATGCAAGTCTTTCTTTGGCTGTATCCAAAAGAGGTGGCAACTGAAGTCACTTGTAAGTGATAGCAATGCCACCATACAAAACACACATAGATGAAAGCAGGGGGCGGGGGAGGATTCGAAAGTCTATGATAAGGGTAAATCGACCTGTATAGTAGAATTCAAAAACAGTAAAGAGCAACACAAAACATAACCAAGTGTCCAGTAGACTCACTATTTCTGCCGTGTGACCCCGGAAAGTATGGTAGCACTTTCCTGTCGCTGCACTCCAGAGTTTACACGTCTTATCAAAGGAACCAGTGGCAATTTTGTCACTAAAAAAAAACAAAAAAAAGTTATGGTTTTTAAATGCAACTTAAAATATCGTATGGATACACCATATTAAGACAAGTCGTATCGAGCATATGAATCTAGCCAGAATGATCCTCAGAAGCACGAATGGGACACTTTGTCTCATGTGCTTTTGGACATGGTATCAAGAGGAACTGAACCCTGGAAAAGGGCAGTGTGTCCAAGCAAGCAGAGCACTGCGTGGCCCTGTGCCACCCTTACAATTGTCCCTGTGCTTGATCCCTCGTTCCTGCAGTCGTGTGTCAGCCCCACTCACTGAGTCTCCCTCTTCCTCCCTGACCCACTACTTTACCAAGCATGGTGGTCTCCTACAGTAACCGGTTCCTTGTAAGCACATGCCCAAAGTACATCATCCTCGTGTCTAAGAAACCCAAGACAGATTTGTTTGTTCTTCGGGAAATCCATGATAAACTCAATATCCTCCACTGGCATCGTAATTCAAAGGCATTCTTTCTTCTTCAGTCTTTTGCATTCGTTGTCCAACTTTCAGATGCACATGAAACCACTGAAAAGACCATGGCTTGGGTTCGAATGTCCCTTAAGTCCTCAAAGGGATAGAATGAGTGGGGCATATGTGTCCCTAAGGGTCTCTAGTGCTGTGATTGGTAAGATGAGACCCATTTCTCCTAATTTATGCCACGACATTGGCCCCCACCAGACATCAGCACACACCTTCAAGTGCAATAGCACTAAACTCTGTGGGTAGAAATGTAAGCGGTCATTCCATGTCCCAGGAGTCACAAGAAGACAAAAAACTCACTGCCGAGAAGCACCCAGTAGGGCCTCTTTCTCCTCTAGCTCTGAAAGGACTGAGGGTGCTTTCTTAGTTGTCAAAGTACTCTGGCCTTTCTCTCTCATTGAACCGGTTGGTTAGTGGCAAAGAAATCATTTAAAGTGGACCGTCAGTCACAACAAGATTTAACGAATGTGCCTGCAGGTGACAGTGTTCAGGTGAAAAGCTGAAGCCTTCTCACGAATGTGGCCAGCTCCTGGGAGACCACATCCCACCTCCACCACCTCCTTTGCTTGAAAGGCAATAGAAGCTCCACGGACAAACTCACACACGCACAACCGGCTGAGCGCAGAATTCTTTTCTACGTTTCACGGCGCCTTTCCTGATGTGTACGTTGAGCTTGTCCACGGCTGCATGGAGTGACCACCTTTTCATAGGCTGACCTCTCAGTTCTCAGAGCAAACAGCCCCCTCCTCGGAGCCCCTTCCCCAGTGGGATCAGGCCACTGTGGCCGAGACAGCTCCCGCTGACTGGGTTTCAGAAGTAAATGCACAGGCCTGTTCAGCATGGAAGCCACGTAGGAGCCTCCACAGACAAGACCAGCGGTGACTGTGCTTGAGGCCCATTCCTTGAGAATGGAACCTGGGTTTCTTGAGGGGGAGGTGAGAATTCTATCACCTCTACCTCACTGCCCTGCTAAAGGGGTAACAAAATTCCAATGGAGAGCTCACCAGAGCAAGCTCGTTTGGGAGGAAATACCGTCCCTTCTGAATAAACCTAAACCAGGAAGAGAGAAGTCAAACATACCGTTTCCCTGAAAGTAAGACATCCGCTGAAAATCAGACCTACTTACAGTTTTGCCTCTTGCTGAAATATAAGGCACCCCCGAAAATAAGACCTCCCTGAAAAGAAGCCCCCCCGAAGCTACCATAACTCTGGACTCTGGACTGTAGCAGCGGGCGCCGCCGCGCAGCTCACTGTTGGCTGCAGTGCAGCTGGAGCAGACAGGAAGTGTGAGGTCTCTTTTAATAAAACAATAAATGTGTACTGTATTCTTCTTCATGGAAAAATAAGACATCCCTGAAAATAAGACCTAGCACATCTTTGGGAACAAAAATAATATACGACACTGTCTTATCTGGGGGGAAACAGGGTACTAGCGTGTGGCCTAGTCGCTGCAAGCACTCAAGGAGCCACGTGTACAGGGGGCACACGGATGTAGGTAGGACACGGGTGTTGGACGTGTTGTCAGGAGACCAGACCTTGCTTGGTAAAGTGGAGGGGCAGTGAAAAAGAAGTCCCTGGACAAGAGGGACGGACACAGTGGCTGCAACAATCGTCGCAGACGTAACCACCACGGTGGGAGGGTGCGGGACTGGACAGTGTTTCACGGTCATGCACAGGGTCGCTATGAGTCAGAACTGACTGGAGGGCACCCAGCAACAAGGCCCAGGGACAAGTAGGGCATGGGTATAGATAGTACATCAGTAAAGGCCGAAGGAAAAGAGAACGCTGACGGATCTACCCGACCCCGAGCTGGAGAGTGTCTGGGAAATGCTTTGATTGTCCGTGGTACTGTCATCCCATGTGTGGTTGATTGATGTGTTTTTATTTTTCCCTGGCGAGGTTGTAAAGAAACTTCTAGAGAGAGTCATCCTTGCTATCGATGTCAGTTGTACTCTCTCCAGCAGTATGGACTATCAAGCAAGCCTGTGGACGGACGTCACAGGAACAGCCTGGCCGAGAACTCCCAGGTGCCTGGGAGTCCGTCTCGCTTGAACTTGAACCCCAGCTCTCCCCTTTACTCCTGTACAACCCAGGGAAGGGCACTTGGATTCTATGTTGCATCTGGCAACATCATTTGAAATTTGTCCATGGAAAATCCCACAGGGCCCAGTTCCACTCTGACACGCAGGGAGTCACCATGCGTTGACTCAAAAGACATCAAAAAGACCCGAGGACTTTTACAAGGATGAAAGGAGCTACCTTCAAAGCTTGCCGATCACACATCCGGCACTCAATCCATTGTGCGTCCTTCTTCCTTCCTCCGCCAGGAGGTGGATGATGTGGATGGTGGGGGGCAAAGGGGGGGCTCTTACCCATAGGGATTGTTGAAGGCTATGGCATAGACCACGTTTCGGTGGCCCTCTAGTGTGTGCAGCTCCTCTCCAGAGGCCGTGTCCCAGAGTTTGCACGTCCGGTCATAGCTTCCGGTGATAAAGCTGACAAGGGAACACACCGAGGGTGAGAACGGCAGACAGCGACTTACAAAGACCGCGGTTTCTACCTGCAGGGTGATGATTCCGGTTCTTGTTGCTTTTGACAATCCAAGTTGAGCGTGAAGAACGCTATTGAATTCAACTAGGAGCGATGTCTGCATCCGTTGACTTTGAAACGCTCCAATTTTATCCCAGACATGAAAATGAGTCATCGTAAAATCTTAATAAAGCATTTTTATATAATACCATAAAACGAGTCGAGATGCAATTAAGAGGGGTGCTTCCAGCCAGAGTTTGCATTTTCGTGTTATTATGTGTTAGATCAATTGTATACTTGGCTAACCCACCAGCCACTCTGAGAAAGATGGGGCCGTCTTTCTCCCAGGAAGACTGACAGCCTTCCAGACCCTCTGGGGCAGGTCCACTCTGCCCTGCGGGTGGATTAGAGGGAGGGGAGCTGGCAGCAGTGGGCCGCTATGCAGGATCGCCCAGAGTCAGAACTGACTCCAAGGCAGTGGGTTTGGCTCAAGTTTAAGCTCAAGGGAGAGAGCCCCGGTGGCCGAGAGGGTTACACACAAGGCTGCTAGCCACAACGAGATCAGCAGTTCAAACCCACCAACCTATCCGCAGGAGAAAGATGAGGCTTTCCACTCCTGTGAAAGAAAAGACAAACAAACGAACGCAATCCACTGCCATCACATTAACTCTAACGCAAAGGGAACCTCTGGGCAGGGTAGGATGGCTCTCTGTGCTTTTCCAAGGGTGTAAATCTTCAAAGAGCAGAAAGCCTCATCTTCTTCCCACAGAGCGGCTGGTGGTTTCGAAGTGCTGACCTTGTGGTTAGCAGACCAACAACACCCACTATGCTGCTACGTCTCTTTGAAAGAGAGGCACACACGTTACATAATTAACTAAGCAGCATCTTCAACAACAAACACCCTATAAAATGTTTCATCCCTTGATGGTTGAAACTCAGAAATGAAAACAAAGACTCTTACCAGGAGCCTGACTTGTTAAGAGCAACATTGGTCAGTGGCAGGATATGGGCTCTGAGGACCTGCAACGGAAGAACACGCGGTTTTAAACCCGAACCCCATGGAACCCCATTAAGTTTACCTTCGAGCCCATTCAGTGGTGCCATCGTGACAGGTAAGGAATGGACAACTGCCAGGATCCGAAGAAGGGGGAACGAAACAAGCTGCACGTTAATTACGGACCCCAGTAGGACGTCGTGAAGTGCTCATCGCTACATAGCCATGGCCCCATGCTGTCCACCAATTGACCTTGAAGAGAAATACTGGCGACTCAGTAAGAGGCCACAGAGCGCTAATCTAGAACACCCGCTTTACAGATTGCACACCGTCTTGTGCATTTGGATGCACAAATAGGAAATGAGTTTTCAATTTTTGAATCCTACTGTTGAGGGGGAAAAATTAACCCTGCCACCGAGTTAATCCCTGCTCCGATTTACCCTATAGGACAATGTGGATCTGCCCTTGGGGGTTCTAAATCTGTAAACCTTCACAGAAGCAGACTCCCTCATCTTCCTCCAGCAAAGCAGGAGCTGTCGGCCTGTCAGCTAGCAGTGGACTGCTTAAATCACTGTGCCACCAGGTCTCCTTGTCTAACAGACAGCACACCAAACTGCCAGGGAGTCAGTTCTGAGCCATCACAATCCCTGTAAAAGGTCTCCCAGACAGTAAATCTTTACAGGAGCAGTCAGCCTCAGCTTCCTCCCTTGGAGTGGGTGGTGGGCTTGAACCGCTGACCTTGTTGGTAGCAGTCCCACCCAAACCTGGGAGCACCAGTACATTTGAGTAGATGACTACAAAAGGTTGCCTGGATGTTTTGTACTAAATACCGTTTGCTGCTTCGAAGCTCTGCAAACGGTAGTCAGCGGTGTCTTCTTCCACCACCAGGGAGGGGAGGTGAGTCCTTCTTTGTTGTCTGTTCTCAGTCTGGAAGCTCCACTGAAACCTGGGGGTTTTTTGGGGGGTGACCCTGCCTTTGAAATACCAGTGACGGAGCTTCCAGCTCCACAGCTCCACACAGGCCAGCCCAGTAGCACAAACTGGCAGATGAGATGTTTTACAAGAACAGTTTGAACTGACACCGTGCATCAATGAGGAGCCCATTGCGTAACCCACTTGGCCATGAAGGTTTTTAATAAATATTTACTAGGGGAACATACATTCATTGGAGAGTCTGTTTATTGAGTGGCTGGCTAGGCTGTTACTGCACCGTTTTGGTCTGGCTGTAACTATTACTAGTGTCCCCTTTCAGATGACTGTGAATCCGAATCAACTCCATAGCAGGGAGTTCGTTTGGTTTGAATTGGTTTCACTTTCAAAAAATGTCCCCTTTGGAGGCTGAATTACAAGGTCATACCCATTTATGTTCACATTTGAAGTTAGCCAGTGCCACCTGCTGGGCAAAACGATATAGCATGTGTAACCTCCTCTAATTCAACAGTGACTGTTTCTGAGGCTATAACTCTGTACAGGAGCAGAGCCTCATCTTTCCACCCCAGAGCAGCTGGTGGGTTTGAACCACTGGCCTTTCGATGTGCATTTGTCTGAATATTTTGTACTAACTAAAGTGTGCTAAGGAGATAAATATTAATCATATTTTACTATAATCATGTAAATCAGTGTAGCATGAAGCAATCAGAATAAACTATGAAGTATTGTTGAATAAATGAAAAATAAAAACTGCACTCAATGACTGCCTTTGTTATATTCTTGAACCATCAAAAATCAGAGTAAAATAAGCATAGTCACAATTAAAATTATAGAAAGTAGATCAATAAATACTTTACTGAATATAGTTTAACTCATGGAAGTAGAAAACTTGGAATCTCAATATACCATAAAACATAGCTTCTCAATATTAATCTAACTTTAAAATATTCAATTATTTCAAACTACCTTAATAATACTCCTGAAAATGTATCACTAAACAGGAAGGCTACATTTACTACAAATCTCTTTTCAACCACCCAAGAAGCAAATATCTTGAATTTCGTTCATTTGTTCATCAATCAGGTATTGAGACTTACTTTCAGTAAACATATGTGAAACAATGAAATAAACAATGGAAAAAAATAATTATTTTCTTGGGGAAAAGACATCAACTCCTCATTTATCGTAGTTCGTTTTCAAGATCAGGGTCATTCTGTGAAACAGTAGTTACGTAGAAATGGAGGCTGATCACATCAGATCCCAGCTGCCAGATTACATCACTGCCTAAGTCCCAAACCATTGAAATCCAAAGCCAGCCAGGTTGACACCAACCCTCCTGGCACCTCAGCATTCATCCCTGTGCAAAGTAGCTGGGACGTGGATTTTTTCAACACTGTCAAAAATGTGATCAGTTAGTTGATTAGTGAGGAGAAGGAATATTTCAGGAAGAGAGAAACATGATCCGTATTTTACTTCAAGCGAATGGAAAAGCAGATCCGTGATTTCTCAGGAAGTTTTCTACCTGGCGCTTTGAAACACGCGTGCGTTACCTTAAAGAGGTAGAACTGGTGGTCCTTGTGCTGCCGGAGTTTGTCTTGCAGCCTCTGGATTAAGAGTTTCACTTGGTCTGTTCGGGAAGCTGTGATCAGAGGCTCTGCTTCCTGGATCTCGTCTACTAAGGCCCTGATATCGGTACTGAATTTACCACGAGGAAAAAAAATAGGAATAATAGTGAGTTGCTTTCTTTCTGTTTCAAAATAACCGCATGGATTCGTTACTTGAAAAGGCCCTGTTGATTTGTGAAGCACGACATTTATAAGACACCAAAGCTTCCGCCCTAGGAGCCCTGGTGGTGCAGTGCATTGAGTTGGGCTGCTAACCTAACCCCAAGGTCAAAAGTTTGAAGCCAGCAGACAGATGGGATTTTCTACTCCAGGAAATGTTTTTTGAAAACAGCAACCTCGGTGCCTAGTCGACAGCAGCCCAATGCTTAGCACTACGCCACCAGGGATCCTTGTAAGGCGGCAGCCTTGAAAACCCACAAGGGCTGCTCTACTCTGTCCTATAGGGTCGCTCCGAGTCAGCATCAGCTCAGTGGCAACGAGAAGGCTTCCGCCATCTTTCCCAAGAAATATTTAGGAAAAAAATCCATCTCACAAACACACCAAGAGCATATTGCATGGATGGGGCAAAAACAGAGGCACTTTCCAAGGACGGGGGTCTTTCTTGCCCCTTGGCAGGTGAGTAGAAGGCATGCTGATTCTAACGTAAGCTCTCTTTTTTCTCTCCTTTCTTTCTTTCTTCCTTCTTATCTTCCTTCCTTCCTTTATTTCATTTTTTGGAGGAGGAAGAGGGGGAGGGTTCTTTTCAAACCTCAAGTCAAACAACAGACAGACCAACAGAGGGCCCAAGGGTGGTGGCAGTCCTTAGACCCCTCAGAGGGCAGCAGCATCTGCCAAGGGGCAAAGCTCCCAAGGCAGGAAGGGCTATAAAGCAGGAGTGAGGAATGATGAGCAGTGAGCACGGGGAGGAAGCGGAGCAAGTGCTGTGACATCATGGGGTGGAGGAGCCACGTCATGGAGCCAATTGTATGAATTATTGAATGGGCAATCAACTTACCAGCTTCCACTCAAATCACAATAAAAAAGCTTAAAAAGAAAAGAACATACATTCGCGGTGTGCTGGTGGCCCAGGGTGGGAAGGAGGGGACGTGTTTAGGAAGGAAGCATCAGCTCTGCGCACAACGATAAGAAATTGGGTGACAGGCACTGGCGATGTGGTGACTGTAACAGAGGGTCACTCAGCGGCACGGTGCCCTTACACACTGCACTGCTAACACGGGTCAAAACCACACGTCGCGCTGTGAGGCTTTCTACTCCCACGAAGAGTTACAGCCTCAGAAACCGACACGGGCAGTTCTGCCCTGCTCCATAGGGTGGCAACGAGTCTGAATGGCCGTGCGTTTGGTTGTTGGAAGGAGCCCTGGTGGTGTAGTGGTTACGTGTTGGGCTGCCAACCCCAAGATCAGCAGTGCAAACCCACAAGCTGCTCTGCAGGAGAAAAGATGAGGCTTTCTACTGCCATCCAAGGTTACAGACTCAAAAACCCACAGAGGCAGTGCTACCCTGTCCTGCAGGGTCACCTGTCATAAATCAGCATTGATTGGATAGTAGCAGGTTTGAGAAATTGTATACATGGAAAACCTTTCACTGGCAAATGCCGGGTAACATATATTTTACAAGGGGAAAAAAGTGCAGCCACTATACTTTCCATTTTGAACGTACTCTCACATTGAGTCCTTGTAGTGGGTTTCCAAATGGATACTTTTCTCATTAAAAATAAAAGTCTTTTAAAATGATGAAACCTGGTTCAAAGAGATTCAAATTTTGAATGAAGAACTGAAATCAGTGCCCAAACAAACAAGCATCCAATGAGTTATCCACAATGCAGAGCCAAGCCCCAGCCATCCACGTAGATCCCACTCACAGGCACTGAGAAGGGGTGTTCCCGGCTGCACATCTTTACAGGACAGAACAACTTCCTCCTTCTCCAGCAGAGTGACTGGTGGGTTTGAACCACCAACCTAACTCACAACACCACCTGGGTTTCAGACCTTAACAAAAATAGACTTCCAATGAATATGAATAAGACATTTCTATAACATTCTTTTTCCTGGAAAAGCTTCCAAAGTCAAGCGTTACCCCTGATTTTCAAATAATACATTAAAAATTCTGGTCAATTTTTCTGTTCCAGAATAACAGAAGTTGAAAGAGGAAAACAAACAAGCAAACAAACAAGAAGGCATGTCTATATAGACCCAAAGAGACCCATTTTGCAAAATATGTGGGCAATATCTCCAGATTCACTGTCCGGGTCTCCCTCTGTTCCAGAGAGGAGTCATGGCCCAGGTGTGCAGAGTTTAGTGAGCTGGCAGAGTCCACCCTGAGCTGAGGGCCTGCTCTTCCCTGGTGGCCCTTGACCCATGGCTGGGCACAGGATGCCGCCAGGCCTGACCTCTTCTGCCCGCGTGGGACCCTGCTGGCAAGCTCTGCTTGGAGGTCCCCTCTGGGCCAGCAGACTGTGGAGCCACCATCTTGGTGGTCTGGTGGCTCCCCACTTGCCTGATGCTGGTTGTCCAGAGGTGCCACTGCCCCCCTGCCCCCTCACCAGAAACTTTTCCTGGCCACAGCACGGCGCTGAGTTCTCTGAGCAGCACAAGCATGATGGGACCATTGATTCAGTGTTATTCATGGAGTTCCTGCTCTAGGCTTAGTCCTGGGACTGTGCGAGATTTGGTCCCAGGCCTCGAGAAGTAACTGATTGCAATTCAAAGATAGAAGTGAATGACGTGGATAGAATTGGGTCAGTGAGTAGGTTTATAATTAGGATGGTGACAAACTCCAAAAGCTTCAATGGTCCAAAGGGTTAAACTTCCTCAGGACGGGAAAGAGATTGCAATGGCTCCTGGAAAGGTTGCTAACATGTCTGGATCAACACCTATTTTCTAGCCAAATCTAAGTGAACCGGGCACTTGATTGGTGCATTCCAACTCCGCCGTGTTCTGAATCACGGCTCCTCTCCAGTTGAGTCTTTCCAAGATGTCACTGAACATGCAGCCGTTTTGAGGGACACACCACTTCTGGATCTTGTCAAGCAGTGAGATGATGCAGTTCCTTGACAACTGTAGATAAGATCCATATGCTTAAATCTTAGGGTCTGCTTTTACTGGCTCTCTAGCTGGGAGTTACGCTCTCCCATAGGACTTGATCTGTGCCGGTCATACATGTTCTACTTCACATATATTGTTCCAGATGGACAATAAGCCCCCTGAGGGGGAGTATTATTCTTAGTATCTGCAACCTACAGCATCTCACTCAGGGCTTTGTATATAGTAGATACAAAACATGCATTCGCTGATTGATTGAACACATCAAGGTCTAACAGGACTTTTTACATGCCAGCAGTCATAAAATTCAGCGATATGGCCTATATGCAAAAGTAACAAAGCTTGATTTCATATTGTGCCTTGTCTTCTCCAAAAACATAAATTAAACAGGACTGTGGTACACAAAATCAAAGGCCTCTTTTATGCCACTGTTCATTCTGTATGTATGTAGATGGGTAGATAGATGATAGATAGATATAGATAGAGATCTAAGTCCATTATCTTTCCATTCCATTTGACCACAAACATTTTGAAGCTCCCTCACATATATTGACTACCAGACGCTATAGGCCAGACTCTAGAATTAGACTTGCACTCTGACTAGGTCTTCATCCTCAAAGCAGTCCCTGTCCCCACCCTAAGACAAGGGCCCTTGCCCTCCAAACTTCAAGGGCAGAGGAAGCCCCAGGTCTCAGGACCCCTTCCCTCCACCAGTTGTAATATCCAATGGGAGAAAGTAATATCCAAGGAGAAAGTAGCTCCTCCTCCTGCAGGAGGCCCCTGGGTTCCCAAAGAGATCGCTTCCTGTGTTAGTCCAGGTCGACTACAGAAATAAATCCAGGGAGACTCGTGTGTGTGTGTGTGTGTGTGTGTGTGTGTGTGTGTGTGTGAGAGAGAGAGAGAGAGAGAGAGAGTTCTATATCAAAGAGCAATTGTATATTGAGAAAACATCCCAGCCCAGTCCAGATCAAGTCCATTAAGTCTGATATTAGCTTGTATGTCCTATACCAATCTATAAATTCCTCTTCAGACCCATGAAATGCATGTAATGACACCAAATGCAGGAAGATCACAGGCCAGTGGGTGGGAAGTCTTGTGGATCCAGTGGTGGTGTAAGCATCTCAACGCTGGCAGGGGTCTCCACGTGGCTCCTCCAGCTCAAGAGTTTCAGAGTAAGTAGCTCCATGTGTCTTGTCAGCAGGAAGATGAAGCAGAGAGTCTGTGTGTATCTGGCCTCCAATGAGCTATGTAGCTCCATGGCGCCTCCAAATGAGGTCATCAAGCTGCAACCTGATTGCCACACTAGACCCCACCCTTTCACGAGGTGACACCAGATTATGTAACTGCCACACTTCTTCATTGTGTCTTTAAGAATTTGTAGGTGAGTAGAACCGGGCTTGTATCGCTTCTTACTTTATTTAGAGCAAGAAAAGGCTAGACGCATGTCCAAGGATTAAACGCTGTGCAGGCAGCCTGGGACGGGGGCTGTGATGACGCATTTGTTGCGAGCAGGGCTTGGTTCAGTCTGTGCAAGTGAGGAGGGCCCTACAGGACAGGAAGGAGTTGGAGCCGGGGTGTGTGTTTTCCATTGCCTCGTACGAAGGTGGAAATTGAACAGTGACCAAGGAAGACCAAGTCGGAGAGACAGAGATTAGGCTCCGCCTGCCTCTGCCCTATGACCTATGCTCTCAACCCTAGAACGTGTTTGCAGCTCAGAAAACAATAGCCTCGGTGATGGCCTGAAAACACACCAACCAAACTCACTGCCCTCGAGTCCATGCCAACTGATGCCTCCCTGGGGGACAGGGCAGAACTGCCTCTGTGGGTGGGTGTCCCAGACTGTAACTGCTATCTTTGCAGGATAGAAAGTCTCATCTTTCTCCCACAGAGAGGCTGCTGGTATCGAACTGCTACCTTGTGGTTAGCAGCCCAAAGTGTCACACACTAGGCCACCAGGTCATCCTCAAAATTGCCAAGGCCACGAGAAACAAGGAGAGTCTCAGAAGGCATCACAGACAAGAGGAACCCAAGGAGCCGTGCTGACTAAAGGTAATGTGGAGCCCTAGCGAGAACGTGGGGCATGAAAGGGGCATTGGGGAAAACTGGGAGACCCTACACATGGCACGGGCTTTCATTAATCATCATGACTCAACACTGATGCATCAGCTGCCCCTAATGTTCCATATTCATGTAACACATTAGTTGGGAGGGAAACTGAGTGTGACTATGTGGGAATAGCTGTAATATTTTTACAAGCTTTCTGTAAATCTAAAAGTATTCTGTAATAAAAGCTGGCTTAAAAAGAAAAAACTCTAAAAAACAGAGGAAACAATTTGTTTAAAGCATGCACTTGAAAAAAGACAAAATAGAGGTCCACCTGGTGGAAGGCAATAGAGCGGTGGCAACAATTGCTCAGTTAATAAATCCTTTTAAAACCAGCGCTGTGTTCATTCTTGCATTAGGAGAGAAAAGAAGTAAGCTCCTTGTCTTTCAAGACTCAGACAGACAAATATTTCAGGAATGGAAATATAAGACATAGCTAAAGCAGATAAATGCATAGTACATTATGATCACTTTAAACAACGTGGAGAGATGGAAAGGTTTTGTTTTGTTTTTCAAAATAAATAGAAAGCAAAAGTCTATAGCCAAGAAACCAAAACCAAACACATTGGCATCAAGTCGATTCTCTCTCACAGCGACCTCTCTAGAGTTCCTGAAACAATCAATTGTTACAAAAGCCGACAGTCTAAGCCGACAGTCTCGCCTTTCTCTGGCCTAAGGATGGAGGAGGTTGTTCAATTAAAGGTGAGGGACACAGGATGCTGGTCTCTTTCTCCTCTGCCTCATTTAGCAAGTCACAAACAGAATGTTCTGAAAGTGAGCTCGGAAGTACTATAAAATAAAATCATTTTTCTTTTTTGAGTAATGGGTTTTCTGTTGGGTTTATCCAGCTCCCACCAACATCACCCTGCCAGATGTGTTCAATAAAATATTTGAAGATGAAATGCATGTTGCCTTGACATTCTATTGTTAACTTACCTAGGGCTGAGATCAAGCAGGTCAATGGACTTGGTCTTTAATTCTCCACATTTTTCATATTCCAACATAATTCCTATAAAAATAAATAGATGGGTGTTGTAAAATACAATCAAAGCACATGCTTAAAGGTAATCCACTTTGACTTTTTAAAATTTATGCTTTTCAATTTAAAAAATTTCACCATAAAAAAATATGTGTACACACAAGCTCAGGGGGATGAACAACAGGAACATAGGTGAAAGGGAGACAGTGGTTGGTGTAAGATATGAAAAAAAAAATGTATATTTTATCAAGGGGTCACAAAGGTGGGAGGGGCGAGAGGGAGGGTAAAAAGAGGAGCTGATACCAAAGGCTCAAATAGAAAATAAATGTTTGGAAAATTATTAGGGCAGCATATGTACAAATATGCTTGATACAACTGATGTATGGAATGTTATAAGAGCTGTAAGAGCCCCCAATAAAATGATTTAAATATACACCTATATATTTAAATGTATAATTATAATGATAAATATTTGTATTTATAACTTAAAATTATAATGATAAATGTATAATTATAATTCATCATTATAAATATATAATTATACAGAAATAATTTATCATGATTAACTTATGGTTTATCATTTGTGCTTATCAATATATAACTATTTATATTTTGTAATATAACATAATTGCTGGTGTTAACATTATATATTAATAAGTATTTATTAACTCCAATAAGAATTATAAATTATATATATATAGAGAGAAATATCTGATTTTAAAACAAGATGGTGCAGACTCACTGTTCTTGGTTCCTCCCTTCTAAACCCAACTAAATAACTTTGAAATTGTTCAAGAGACAACAATGAAAGGACTGAAGGTTGGATAAACAAAGCTAGGTTGGCTAGAGACCTCATGACTTAAGGAAGGATAGATCATAAGCTGTTTCCTCTGGATATCCCATATACCCTTGAAATGGGGGGAAAAGGTATTTGCATACTGAAACTACCAAGAGAAAGTTTGTTCTTTCTGGCCAAAAAGAATCAGGACAAGGGAAGCCCAGCAAAGAGCAGGTAAGGACCCCTAGCCCCCTACTCAAATGACAGACACCCTTCCCCGTCATCCAGTCCACCAGAGGTTGCCTGAGCAGCACCAGCACCAAACAGACCAGAGCAACATTGTAAGGGCTCAGAACACTCAGCTGTCACTTAGATCTAAAGCCAAAACCGTAGGCCAGAGCCTGATGCAGTCCATACTAAGATTTCATATGGTTTGCCATTCAAAGAAGAGCGAGGACCCGATAAAACAGAGTATTCGGTGATAGACTCAAGAAAACCAAACCAAACTCACTTCCACCGAGTCAATGCTGACTCATAGCCATGCTATAGGATGCGTAGAACTGTCCCTGTAGATTTCCAAAATTGTAACTTTTTATGGGAGTAGAAAGCCCCTTTGTTCTGTAGAGTGACTGGTGGTTTTGAACTGCTGATCTTGTGGTTCGCAGCCTAACACGTAACCACTACTCTACCTGCTAAAAAATGTCCTAGATGCAATAAAAAATTACCCATCATATTAAGAACCAGGAAAAGAGTATCAAAAGTTGTCAAAATTGTGATGAATCAGATGACGAAATTATCTGATCAAGATGTTGAAAGAGTCATCCTATGGCTCTTCTTTAATACTATATTGGACTTCAATAACCACCTCTGTAGAGAGCCAATCACTGTATATTCTATTCTTTATGCTGAAGACCACAGAAGGGCTGTGTGTCATGTTAAATTGCCAACAAAATACAGATATTACAGTGCTGTTAGAATAGTTCTTTTTTTTTTAATTTGGATGCCATGTTGATGGCATGTTCTTGCTAGGATTCAAGGTGATCCACGATGATGGAAAGAATTTTTTAAAACTAAAATTGAAAGTATGCCCACTCCTATCGACATTGACAAGTTCCAAAAACCAGGTCAGTGTGCAAAATCTGTGAAATGTGAAAATGGAAGATGACCACATCAGGTCACAAAATGGATAATTACATCATTATGTATCCACCAAATTATATAATCACATTACTGTCAAATCAATGAATACCATGCCCAGCCACATCGACACATAATTTTAACCATCACAACCAGGGCTCACCTTACCTCCCACCTTGCCAAATGCATGTCATTAATTCACCAAATAGTGAAGAGAGTAGATTTTTTTCTATTGCCATAGATACAAACTGTCAGATAATGTGATAGTTGATGAGTGAGGAGTGGGTGTAGAAATGAAGGTACTGCCAGAAAACACAAGTTTTCTTCCAATGATTACTTCCCATGGTACTTATATTTTCTTGATCTTTTCTTGGTCCTAAACCATTACACAATAGGCAGAATTTTCAAAATTCTTACCAAACTCTTAGGTAAGAAGTCTGTCTCTCCCCTAATTCTGCAATGCATTCAAAGGCTATGATTCAAAAAGCATTAGAATTCTTTGCTCAGATTTCATTCAACCAACCAAAGTATTTAAAGTGCTCAGAATATCAGCCTGTATGATGAGTGTTTATCTTAGTTCTTTCTCATGGCCAAAGAATGAGGGGACTTCACACAATAAATAAAAGTCAAGACTGCCAGCACTGAGTCATTTGCAAAGCATGTATTTGAACCTCTTCTTGCCAAAGTGAAGAGTATATGGATGCGTGAATGGGACTAAGATAGAAATGGAATGCCCCATGTTTGGCTAATGATGTTACTGCTAGGCGCATTCAATCATCAGGAATTTAGGTAGAGAGAAGGATAGCTCAGTGGATGCCAGCAAGATACTGCTCCTGACCTATGGGCTTGCGTGGGAGCCCACTTTCAGGGGCATGTGGGAGGACTGAAACCATAGGATTAGGAGGGCAGGCAAAATTGCTTTCTATGCAGAAGGGATAAAAGTAGTAGGGGAGTGGATCAGGGGAGGATACTTTTCTTTTTTCCCCCTTGTTGATATTGTTATTGCAAACACCTACCTGCTACTCAATATTACTTTGGAAACTTGCACATAATATGGCGCACCAAACATTGGAATTCTGGAATTACATTTCTATCATGCTAAATAATATGACCTCATTATAAGATCATCATTTATGAAGGCAAGAGGCAAAAGTATGAAATGGTAACACCAAAGAATGGGGCATGTTAATTATGGTGTGGGTGAAGGATATTGAATATGCCATACAGTGTAAGAAATATAAATAGATCACTCTTGGAAGAAGTATGGGCAGAATGCTTCTTGGAAGCAAGGCTGGCAAGATTTCATCGCATATATTTTGTTCAGGTTATAAGGAAGGGCCAACTCCTAGAGAAGACTATCATGCTTGGTAAAACAGAGGATCAGGAAGAAGAAAAAAAAAAGGAAGACTGCCGATGAGTAGACTGGTACAAGGATTCCACAATATGTACTAAGGAGAAGGTGGCATAGGACCAGGTAACATTTCTGCTATACAGAATGAATTGGAATCACTGTAAATCAGAATGGATTCACAAAACCTAACCGAAGAATGGTATAAGTCTACAAACTAACTAACATGAATTTAAGATTGCTGTTGCAATCTTCCACCACTCTGTTACTTTGTTATAGTGGCTTGTGTGTTGCTGTGATGCTGGAAGGTATGAAACATGTATGTCAAATGCCAGCAGGGTGGCCCAGGTGGACATGTTTCAACAGAGAGTCCAATCATGACAAGCCAGAAAGAAGTACCTGGCAATCTACTTCTGGAAAAAATGGCCCGTGGAAACCTTATGAATCACAATGAAACACTGTCTGGTATCATGGTTCCTCAGGCTGGAAGGTGCTCAGAACACAACTGGAGAATTCTGAGAATTCTACCAAGCATTCAGAGAAGAGTTTGTACTGATTCCACACAAACTATTCCAGAATATAGACAAGGATGTCAAACACCTGAACTCATTTATGAAGCAAGCATGCCTTGACACCATGCATAGACATTTCCAGAATAGAAAATTACAGATCAATATCCTTTATGAACATAAATGCAAAAAGTTCTCAAGAATATCCTAAACAATAGGATTCAACAAAATATCGATGATGATAATAATAACAGTAATAGGAATACATAGTGACTAAGTGGGATTCAGACTAGGTATGCAAGATCAGACTAGGTATGCAAGATGGGTTCAACATTGGTTGGTTAGAGGAACATTGGTTAGTTAGAAAAACAATCGATGTAATATACTATATAAAGCAGCAGTTCTCAACCTGTGGGGTTGCAACCCCTTTGGGGGTTGAAAACCCCTTCCACAGGGGTCACCCAAGACCATCAGAAAACACATATTTCCAATGGACCTTCTCCAGGATGGTCCACCCACCTGCAGATACACCCATGTACGAGTACCTGGCATGATGACATCTTTGTGCCCACCCCATACAAATACAGGTATATGTGACAAGGGTTGGTGCTATAATGTACTTATGCAGACCAGTCACACACGTGTAGAGAGAAGCTACTGTGTAGAAAACAGCTGCTGTGTTGAAAGCAGCTACTTTGTTAAAAGCAGCTACTGTGTTGAAAGCAGCAGTATTGGAGGTAAAATGACACCTCATGAATTATAATTACATATTGTTTTGTGATTAATCACTCTGTTTTAATTATGTTCAATTTGTAACAATGAAAATACATCCTGAATATCAGATATTTACATTATGATTCATAACAGTAGCAAAATTACAGTTATGAAGTAGCAACAAAAATAATTTTATGGTTGGAGGTCACCACAACAGGAGGAACCTGTATTAAAGGGTCATGCTATTAGGAAGGTTGAGAACCACTGATATATAGCAAAAGATAAGAACTGCATGATCATATCAATTTATAAAGAAAAGGCATTTGAAAATATCCGACACCATTCCTGATCAAAACACTTAAAAATAGGAATAGAAAGAGAAATGTTCAACACAATAAAGGCCATATATGCAAAACCCATGGCGAGTATCTCACTCAATAGGAAGAAATTGACAGGATTGCCCCCTGCAAGTAGGAACTAAACAAAGATACCCATTATAACTGCTCCTCTTCAGTATTGTGCTGGAAGTCTTAGCCAGAGCTCT